CTCCAGAAATAGGAGAGATTAAACTTCCCATCCGGTAAAGTCCGAGCACCAACAGGGAACAAAAATTTTCAATCTTGCTCGTAAGGAAAGAAATACCAAATAAAGTCATAATGAGACTACTTCCTGCTTGCCCAATACCAAAGAGTTACTACAACGCTTGCCGAGGACACAGGCCCGGTAGGACTGTGCTCTTCTACACTGCTGGGCGCGAGGGTGAGGCAGCCTTGCTGGAGAAAGGTTTGACAATATGTTTCAGAGCCTTGAAATATATATTCATGGATCTGTTGTTCTCATTTCTGAGACAGGAAACCACAGGAATAATTAAAACATTTGAGCAATGATTTCTGCAGAAGGCTGTCCCTTCTAAGCTTGCAAGCTGAGGAGTGTGGGTCTTTAGTGGCGCTGTCATGGCTGTCACCATGACCTGAATCGAGTGAGAATGTTGACCTCTCACGGCCATTTTGACTTTGGGGAAAAGCCTGAAATCACTCTGGGCCAGATCCGATGAATACGGTGGGTGAGGGCATGGTCACGTTTTGACAAACTGGCCTTTCCTTTGGAAGGCGCTGGGCATCTACATTCCCCATATTGGTTTTTTTTTTAAATCACATTTCATAAAGACACTGAGGAGAGGACTTCCAGAACTGCTTCAGCAAGTGGCAAAAGGCATGGGATGAGCGTGCTCTAGTAGGACGCAGTACTTTGAAGACAGCTAGTGCCACTATGGTGTTTACTGTAATACATTTTTAAACACTTAAGCATTCACCCTATATTTTGCTTATGCCTTATTTATATATGCTTTTCTTCCTCTTTCTCATTTCTAAATATTCTGAAGTAAGCGCAAGGTCTTCCCTACTTGGAAGAAATGGACATAAATTGAGTGTGTTGTCCACTCCCAGGAGAGCAGTGTTTAACTCTGACCTCCTCCCTGCCTTTGTCGGGTCTCACCCAGACCCAGCATTGCCCGGGGCACATGAAATTCCTCTCATTTATGGCCATGGCCTGTGCCTACATATCTTTTCTCAATATTTCTGCCTATAATTTTATCTAAATTCCTTTCTTTTTTGCAAGAGAAATAACTAATTAATATACTTTTAAAAAATATCCTTTGGAAACATAAAATGTCACAGAAATGTTCACCCACCACAGTGTTTTATGACACATCTGATTAAACCATGACACCAGCGTTGATTCCTACACTTATCTCCCTTTCTTGCCTTCTGGTGGCTGATTCTAAAAGCCATCTTCTGGCCACCTCCTCCAGCCTTTGTGCTTCAAAGTGCCTGCCTGCACTGAAGCGTAGCATTGCTCTCTGTAATTATTTTTTTCAAAGTTTAGTTGTCTCAGTCTTTGAAGGTAAATGAGAAACATGATTAAAACAGAGAAAATGAAATTCTGATACTCAGTGAAATAACGATGGATTTCACTTGGCTGACACATCATAAATCTCCAAAGAGATGAATGAAAACTTTCCATTTGATGCCCTCTCCTGGACCAGAAGCCTGATATCTACCTTCCCAGAGTATGGACTAAAAGTAAGGATATTCACTGGGTTACTCACACACCCTCCCAGCCAAAGCAATGACTACGCAGAAAGTCCACTTTGAGGTGAAAGACAGCCTACATGGATCACTGAGACCCCGCCCCGCTTCAATGTGGGGTTGCTCAGCTGAGGAAGGCCAGGCTGTGGCGACAGGCCTGGATTAATGAGGATAGACTCTGCTGTTGCTGGGCCAGTCCTCAGGCTGGGGGTCGAGGTATGTGGGTCCTTGGGTCAGCTCTGGCTTTCAGTTGTGCTGTGACCTGGACACTCATGTCAGGGAATTTGTTGTCTTGCCCCTGCAGAGCAGTTCCTTCTTCTCCAAGGCTTCCTGACTTAGTGTTTGGTACCACTGTTCTCCTGGCTGATGGGCCAGGCACCAGAAGTTATCCTTGATGCCTCTTCCCCCTCACTTGCTCACCCTACTCCAGCTCATCTCCTCTCTCCATCCTTTTTGCCCTTATTCTCACCCAAGCAGCTCTCAGCTGGACCCGTGCCGTGCTTCTGGTCTGGGGTGAGATCTAGTCTTACTCCTTGCTGCAGTGCAAAAGTCTTTCTTAATATGTTTATTTTTTATTTCTGAGAAGGCCACTGGAATTTTGATATTGATTTTATTGAATCCGTGTATTACTTCGGTAGCATGGACATTTTAATAATATCAATTCTTCCAATCTATAAACATGCGCTATCTTTCCATTTATATATTAAACAATTCTAAAATTCATGTGGAATCAGAAAGGACTATGAAGAACCAAAGCAAATCAGAGGGGGAAAAAGTTGGAGACATTATACTTCCTGATTTAAAATTATATTACAAAGCTATCATAATCAAACAATATGATACCAGCATAAAAACAGACATATACACCAATGGAACCCAATAGAGAATCCATAAAGAAAGTTCAACATACAGAGTTGATTAATTTTTGATTAGGACACCAAAATGCTGGGAAAGACAGTCTTTTCAATAAAGGGTGCTGGGAAAAGTGGATATCCAAATTCAAAAGAATGAAAGTGGACCTTTATATACAAAAGCCAACTCAATGTATTGAAGACTTAAGTAGAAGAATTAAAATCATAAAACTCTTTGAAGAAAACATAAGGGAAAAGCTCCTTGACATTGACACTGGCAGTAATTTTTGGACATCACACCAAAAACCTCACATTACAAAAGCAAAAATAAACAAATAGGACTATAGCAAATTAAAATCTTCTCCAAAGAACAGGAAGCAAGCAACAAAAGGAAAGTGCAAACCAATAGGTTAAGTGTCCAAAGTACAGTGAAAAAAATTACCCAACTCAATGCAAAAACAAAAGCAACATACAAACAAACAAACAAAAAAACAACCCAGTTAAGAAGCAGCAAAGTGTCTGGATAGACATCTGACCAAAGAAGACAATAGGTATATGAAAAGGTTAATGTCTTTAAGCATCAGAGAAATGCAGCTCAAAAGGAGGAGATGTTAACCCACACTTACTAGGATGGCTATCACCAAAGAGTGAAGGGGTAAGTGTTGGTGAAGGTGTGGAGAAAAGGAAACCTTGTCTACTGTGGGTGGTGCAGTCATTATGCAGAATGATAATGGAAGTTCCTAAAGAAATTTAAAATAGGATTGTTATATGGCCACAGATTGAACCCTTTTCTGGGCACATATCAAAGGAGAAGAAACCACTGCCCTGTAATGCTATTTGCATTCCCATGGTGGTTGCAGTGTTGCTCACAATGCCAGCGTGTGGAAACTCTAAAAACAGCGGAAGTGGCCGCTGGCAAAAGAATGGATGGAGAATAAAAGAGTGGCAACCAGGTGGTGATGTGGATAGAGAGCTGTGACGAGGCTGGATGATTTCCCGCAGCAGCTACCTTGCAGAACCCATCCGGTCCCTCCTGCCAGTTCAGAAGGCAGGCGCGGCCCTTCGGCCTCGGATCTGGCCCTGTCTCCTTCTTCTTCCTCCGTCCCCTCTCTCGTTTCTCTCCCTCTCCATCTGGTCTCTGTGCTCCAGTCCTTCTGGTTTTCCTGCCTCTGAGCAAATGCCAGGGCCTTCCCCAAACTGGTCTTTCTCCTGGAACCCTTTCCCCATTCCTCTTCTCTGTCCTCACCAGTTCTGGTCACACAAACCCCACTTATCCAGGGGTCAGGCATTTACAGTCACTTCCACAGGAAGATCATCCTGAGCCCCAGGAAGACGCTGGCTCAGAGAGGTGGGGTGACCTGCCCAGGGTCACACTGCCCTTGCTGTCTGTGAGCACCATAAGGATGCGGGCCACACCCGACATGCTCAGAGCTGTGGCTCCAGCACCAAAATCAAAGCTTAACTCTGCCTCCACCATGATCCTGGGACTCCTGCTCCTCCTCATCCCACAGCTGAGGCCTCAGGCCATCCACCAGGCCCTCACCTCAGGCGCCAGGATCCAGGGCCTCCTGACAGGCCCCTCCTCCGCGCCTGCTTCCCATCCTGGTCCTATGCCCACACCACCACCTCTGAGCACCTTTCTTTCTTTTTGTTTTTTTTTGGTTTTTCTCCGGTACCGGGAACCGAACTCACGACCTTGCGCTTGCCAGGCAGGCGCTTTGCTGCTGAGCTAAATCCTCAGCCCCTGAGCACCTTTCTGATAGGATACTGGCCGTGTCACTCCGATGCTCCCGAGACACCCAGAGCTCCCTATTCTCCCAGGATGAGGTTGTCTGGGCCCCTTGAACAGGTGTCTCATTTCACCTATAGTCTCTCCTCAGTCCTCAGCCCCTCCAAGTTCTTTTCATAGGGGTCTGCTGCATCTCGGCGTCTTCTCCTTGCTTATTCCCTTTCTCCGGGATATCTCTGCTCCACCCTCACCTTCTCTGCCCAGCTCCTGCTCACCGTGGAGGGCTCAGTTTAGAGACCACCTCTTCTGGGCAGCCCTCCTTGATTCACTCCATCTCTGTCCAACTTGGATGAGTGTCCTCTTTGCAGAGATCACACAGCAAGTACATGCTGAACTAGGATTCTAATCCAGGTCTTCCTATTTCTAAAGCAGCAATCCAGACCAGAACAGGTAATTCCTCATTTAGGAAGAAGAAAGAAGGAGGTGGAGTTCATTAACATCTTGGAAAGATGTTCAAAATACATGTATTAAATGAAAACAGCACGTTGCAGAGCAATGTGGATGGCATGATTCTATGGGGTGGGGACACAAGAGATCACTTATGTTTGTGTAGGTTTTAAAGCACAGAACAAACCTGAAACAAATGCATTTTGAGCCTCAGACACAGTCATTGTGTTTGGGTTTGAACATTCTGTAAGGTTTAAATTTACTGTATATTCTGCCCTAAAACCATGACTCACAACAACTCTTCTCCAGTGATAAGTAGAAGACTAGACCCCTCAGGGGTTGTAATCATAGGGATGAGTTTTGTGGAAAACACCCCTACCCCACCAGTGGTGACAGTGAGAACCAGTGTGGTTGGTGGGAGGCCACACTCACCTTTCCCAGCAGCTCAGGCAGGCCCAGCACCTGCCCCATGAACACGCCCACGCAGATGAAGATGGCGGTCACCTGCCCCAGGGAGCCGCGGATCTCCTTGGGCGAGATCTCGTTGAGGTACATGGGGAGCACGCTGAGGGCGATACCTGGGGAGGAAGTAAGCAGCAGTGAGAGAGGTCTCTGGTGGGGGTGGCGGTCAGGCATCCAGGCCCTGCACCAGCCTCACCTCTGCTTTGTTTTTGATGAGAAATGACACTAGAGCCTCAGCCCACTCCTGGCATGCCCACAACTTGTGCGGATTTCACACACACTCATTGCCTCATCCATAAAGTGTGACTTTAGGCCAGCTGCATGGAAGAGGATGCAGACGGTGGTGGTAGAGGTGGTAGTAAGGACAGTAATGGTGGCTGTCATGGAAAATGTGATGGTGATGGTGATGGCGATGATGGTGTTGGCGATAAAGGTGGTGATGGTGATAGTGGAGGTGATGGTGATGATGGTGATGATGGTGATGGTGATGATGGTGATGGTGATGATTACGATGATCGTGGTGTTGGTATTGGTGGTGATAATAACAATCATAACCAACACACATAGTCCTTACCAAGTAGCAGGGGTCCTACTGATAAAGACTTTACATATATTAGTTTGCTTGCTTTTCACAATAACTTTCTGAAGCAAATGTACTGTTATTATCTCCATTCTAAGGATGAGGAACCTGGGCACAGAGAGGTTGAATAACTTGCCTATATGGCTAAGAGGTTATTTTGCCCAGTGAAGTCCTAGTAGCTCCCTGGAACATTAGCTTTCCCCCTAGCTGGCAATTTCTAAGGCAGGACTCAGTTATGGCAGATACAAAACAGATCCGTTTTACAGCATGGGTCAGTCACATGTAACCTCCCTAACTCTGAGATAAATTTACATGTTCAGGGGTTTATTAGACATGGTTCATGTAAAGTAAGGGTTATAAAAGTGTTTTACAAAGTACTGCACACACTTGTTTACACAAGACCTTGTCAATTTCAAGAAGCTCTGTGTCACTTTCTACCTGGGAGGAGTATTCGACAGTCACTGTCATCCCAGGCAGGGTCCTGGCTAGGATAAAGCCCACAGCCCAGATGGGCATAAGAATTGAGGCTAACTTCCTGGGATTTCTGTGGGAGTCATGATAAACTCGAGGCCTTCTCACTGCAAAGTCCTTTGCAAATTAAGATGATCAGTGCTTAGTACTCTTGGCTGATTTTTCACCAGACTGTGAAGGCATCAAATGTCTCTCTGCTGCCTTGGCTTCCTCTTGCCCCCAGCATAGCTCTACACAGAAAGCATGGATTACTGTGCTCCATGCTGAGCTGAGTCTTTCCCTACTGCCAGCACCCTGGGAGGCCCTCTGAAAAGAAATCCAGTGAAAGGAATATAGGACTCAGCTTACAAACAGAATCCCATCCATCACATCTTAGTCTAGGATTCTGCTTTGGGTTCATGATGTAAACATGCTTAAGAGGAAAAGACATAAAAATTATTTGGAAAGTCACAACATAAACCAAATGGTATTTGAATTTTACCCAAAATATAGACATTAAGAGTGCCTGCCTCGTGGAAAACTTGGATGGATCATTGCCTCAATTTAGCTCACTGGTGCTTAGCAGGCCAGCCATAGAGAAAAACACATGTGGCAGTGGATTTCAGATCCCAGAGCAGAAGTTTCCTCGCTGGGGGACTAGATCACATAATGACCCTCACTGAGGTTCTCAGCTTACTCACTTGCAAAACAAGGCTGGCACTACTGCCCATTCCAGCTGTGGCAGGAATGAAATGACATGGTAGGCCCCTGGCTCACATGTGGTCACCCAATCAATGCCTAAACATCTGTCAGTTTGTTTACGCTGATGTTCCTCCTACTGCAGAGGGTAGTCACCATCTCCCAACATCAGGGAGGAATGATAGAACAGGCAGGTTAGAAGCAGCAGGAGTCATGGTGGAAGATGTGCCACTAACTTTTGTAGCTCACTGGTGCAGTGGGGACAGTGAAGTCCCTGCCTTTGTACGGGACCAGGCACTGAAAACATGCAAGACGCTTAGCGGAGCACCACATACACTAAGCTGTCAATACAGGGTGACTGTTATTCCTTGCCAATTGCAAAATACATGGGAAGAAAAGAGTGTAGTGGCTAAACCAGTGGGAAAGGAGGAGGTGGACTTACAAGAAACCAGCAGCTTGGATGCTAGTTCATCCTGGTTTGAGCGGTACCATCCATCCCAGGAATTTTCAGTCTTGGGCACACCAGGATTACTGGACTTTCTGGGCCCAACATATGGTACCATGTGGCACACCTGAGGCTTCACACCTTAGCAGCCTCTGCTGGCTGCTGAAATCATCCTCCCCAGGGGTCTGAGCCTTGCTATTCACTGAGCACATGCCTCGCTCCTTTTGTCTTAGGATACCAGCCTTGGTTCTTCTGCTGTCTGCAGCCCTCCATCCTCAGAGCTTGATGATGACTCCTCCTTGTCATTCCTGTGCCAACAGAGACACAGGAGGAGGAAGAATGGGTGAAGATGGAGTGAGAGACAGGAGGAGGAAAGATTCTTAGGATGGAGAGGCACAGGAGGAGGAGGGGCTGCGAAGATGGAGACACCAGAGGAGGAAGGACTATGATGGTGAAGTGACAGGAAGGAGAAGGATTGTTAGGATGGAGAGATTAATGTGGCTCAGCAACAAGACAGTATCTTCAATTTTGGCTCTCAACACCAGGAACTGGGGAGAGGAGAGGAACAGGGTCTCCATCAGAGCCTCAAGAAGGAACCAATCCTGTTGATACCTTACTCTTAGATTTCTGGCCTCTGAAACTGTGAAAGCACACATTTCTGTGTTTTAATCCATTCAGTTTTGGGTACTTTGTTCCTGCAGCCACAGGACACTAACACCTCTCCACTGATGCCTTTCCTGACCATAGTATCAAAATCTGCCCTTCCCACCACTCATCTTTATCTCCTCTTGGGATTCTTGTGCTATCAGAAAGTATCATCCTCTTTGCTTATCTGTAGGCTTCCCTTTAAAGTCCCTGTGGATGCTTGGCACCATGGTTAGAACCAAACACTAGATTATGTTTCCTCCTCTACCCATAAACCTATAAGAAGTGGGGCACAATAAGAGATTAACAAACAGTAATGATAAAATAGAAAATTACAACAATATATTGTAATAAAAGTTATTTAAAACATATGCATTATTTCTAGAATTTCCCACTTCATACGACTGACATGGATTTTCACCCTGGAAGTATGAGCTATCCCAGGAAGACCACGGCACAGACATATCCAACACAACCTCCTACTTGCACAAAACTCCTCTGTATGCACATTTTAACTTTGTAATCTACACAAATCTGCCTCCCGTGCCTTACTGTATTACATTAGTTTCCATGTTTAAGAAAAGTTATTTTTTTTCTTATTTAAGCCTTCTAATTATCCACATTACAGGAAGGTGTCCTATGTGTTATGGTTTAGATTTGAATGTACCCCAGTAGTCTAAGGTTTAGAAGTGGGGCCTGGTTAGAAGAGACTAGTCAGTGTGGGTATGTCATGAAAGGGCGTACTTTCTTTCCCTACTCTTCCGTTCTCTTTTGGCTTCCTCACTACCATGACATGAGCAGTTTCTCTTCCACCATGCTGTTTCTGCCTTGGAGCCAGCTGACCCAGTGGGATTGAACCCATTGGAACTGTGAGCCAAAAATAAATCTGTCCTTTTTAAGTTGCAAGGGTTGGGTATTTTGGTCTAGTGACTGAAAGCTAACTGATACATTATGTTTTGATTCTGGTTCCAAATACTCCATTGGAAGAGAATCAATCAGCAAGTCTTTAGAGTCTTTTTCTGCAATCCTCCATGATTGTTGCTCGGCTTTAAATCATTTATAAAAATCACATAACTGATTCAGTTCATGACCAGCAATTTCTCTTTCTGATCAATAGCTTCACCTTGAATGCCCTCAATTTCCATTCTCTTTGAGAGGTTTGGTGAGAATAAATGGCATGAAGTCCTGCATCCTGGCCCAGCTGTAGTAGGACAGAAGTCAGGAGTCTGGATCTCCCTTCCCTCCTATTCCTCCTTTTTTCCTGCTTCATTTTGAGCAGCTCATAGGAACAAGGACTAAATGACAGTTGTTTTGACTCTGTGATTTTATAAAAGTAGCACCTGTCTTGAATACAGCTTATTTTAGTTAAGGAAATGCAGAAAGGAACTAGTAAGTGTAATAACTGTCACCTCCCCCAAATTAGTGAGACAAAGCAACAGGAGATAAATGAATAAAACACAAAACTATCCGAGAGAGAGAGAGAGAGAGAGAGAGAGAGAGAGAGAGAGAGAGAGAAAGAGAGAGAGAGATGGGGGGAGACTCTGCTGCCTCCATTAGGAAGCGTCTTTCAATGACAACAGCAATCAGACAGCAATACCACTACAACTGTGCAGGATGCAGTGGGGTAGAGGCCAGGTGCAGGGATGGATTAAGTACTTCACACCTGGAGTGATCATTTTATTTTCACATCACCAACCAGGGAGACCACTTTGACTTCCCTCTGCAAGAGTAGGAGACTACAGGGAAGGCTGTGCAGACCCCATCGGCTCACCCTCCCTGCATCCACAGTCTCAGGGAGCCACTGGCTCTGCATCTGCCATGGGACTGACTTTGGCCAAAGGGACACGAGCAAATGTGCTTCCATTGAGACTTTCTCCAGCCATGCTTTGTCCCCCTCAGAACTCTATGTGATGAAACCTGGGATACCTTGTCAGAGGGTGACAGCCCTTGGAAGGCAAAGATGGTCTGGCTGGGGCCCCTAGAGAGCCACCTCCCTGCCAAAAACCACACTCACGAGTGTGCCACTCTGAGTCATGAAACCACTGCAGATATGCAGACCTGAGAGATGGCCCAAAGCTCCTCAGCAGAGCTGGCCCTGCAACCATGGAATTGGAAGCTCAGTGAGTGCTCAATGCTTCAGTCCATTAAGATTTGCTTTCTTTTTGTTTTGTTTTCTTCTACACAGCAAAACCTAACCAACATAGCTAATTTAATGGAATTTACACAGGTAAGTGACAAAGCTCCAATAGGCTGAATCCACAGCTCTTTCCCTAAAGACCTTTCCCGTCCCATCTTTCTGAGCCCTGGTGTGGTAATATGGAAAAAAATGAAAGAGGAAGTATCAGTTACTTTCCCATTGCTGGGACAAAATATTAACACCCAAAAATGAAATTTAAAGGAAGATATAGTTATTTGGGCTTATGATTTCAAAGGGTTCAGTCCATAGTCAGCTGACTCCAAAGCAGAAAGGCATGAAAGGAATGCCTGGCAGAGGAGAGCTGCTTTCTCCGTGGAAGCTAGGAAGCAGAGAGAGAAGGGAGGAGCTGGGGACAAGAACACACCCTTCCAGGTCACCACAGTAACTCACCCCCAGCCAGGCACCATAATCTAACAACACATTTCACTATGAACTCATCCATGGCTGAATCCACTGATGTGCATAGCGCCCCACAATACAATTGCCTTCCATAACCCCCAGCTCCGAACATATGAGACTTCTGGATCTAAATCATAACAGAGGAGACCACAGTTTTCCAAAGATAAATGGTCAGCTATAAACACTACACAGACTCTGGCCATTGTTCTTACTGATAAACTTTCTGTAGTGGTTTCCTTTATACATGAATATCAAGATGAAGGAGAAATTTCCCCCCCCAGTGTGGACTATTACAAAGTCCTGAATTGGTTTTTTTAGTGGGACAAAGTGAGGGAAGAGTTTTTTCCACTTGTCCTACTTCCAGTCCACCTTTCCCCTACTCCCCCAGCCGGAGGTGTGTTTTATTCAGTCCCTCACTTATAAAGCCTAAGTATCCTCAGCACTGAAGAGTCAATAAGGAAAGGAATCACTTCTCACAAGCTCATACCAGGCTAGGCTCTGTGTGTGTGTGTGCGTGTGTGTGCGTGTGTGTGTGTGTGTGTGTGTGTGTGTGCGTGTGATACATAGATTCATTTCAGCCTGATTACAATGCCTCAGAGTGGTATTGTTCTCATTTCCATTTTATAAGTGGGGAAAGTGAGGCTGAAATCCACTAAATAACTTTCTAAACATCAGAAATTGACAAGTGGCAGAGGTCAGTGGAAACACAGAGATTCTCAATCTTAAGACTTACAATCTTCCCACAAATGCCTCAAAGCAACACTTTGCAGATTTGCATGATTAGAAAGAAAGCAGTTGCTCCATTTGTTTTAAGAGTATATGCACATCTCCAAATCTCACCCCCACGGCTGGAATCCAACCACTGTTACCGTCTCCCCTACCAAAGTGTCTGTGCTACACTTTTCCTTCCAAGACACCTGGCTGGCCTGATTCCACTCCTGGTCCCCACTATATTCTCCATACAGGAGGAGGGAGAATCGTATTGAAACAAAGCAGTTCATGTCCCACTCTCTCGCCCCTCCTCGGGTTCCTTTCTCACTCAGTGTGAACTCAGTCTATAGCTAAGGCCCTTTGTGGTCTCACCCTGGCTCTTTACAACCTCAGTAGCTCCTACTCTGACTCTCACTCATGATGCTCCAACTACACGGCCCCCAAATGTCCCTCAGATGTGGCCATATAGCCCTCCCCAGGTGCCACTGCACCATCCTTTCTGCTGGGAGCCTGATTCATCAGAAACACACTCAGTGCTCATGCTCTGTTTATGCTGGTCTCTGCTCACGTCTCCTCCTCTGAGAAATCTTCCCTGAATGGCCTTTGTGAAACAGCCCTCTTGATCCTACTGTGCTGCTGCCTTTTCTTCCTAGCACTTAGGTATCTAACTATGTAACTTTCCACCTGTAGGTATCTAACTATGTAACATCCCACCCTCCTAGAACCTAAGCCCCAGGAGCATGACCTTCTTCACCATCCTGTCCCCAGCACACAGAACACCAGGAATGCTTGGTGAATAAAAGAAAGAATGAGTGAGTCAAGGCCCAGATGGAAACACAATCCTCATAAAAGCTCCCTGGAAACCACAGATGATATTGGCATATGGCTTTTATGGGGAAGGTGCAAGGGAAGGTGTGACATGTTAAGGTCATCCGAGTATTTGCAGGTGACTTGGGTCTACCAATCCTAGTGTAGACCTAATTACCCTCCTTCCCCAAATATAAGACCTAGCCTTACAGAGTAGCAAGAACAGTGATGGGAAGTAAGGCAAGGATAGGCTGATTGGGGCTAGCATTTTTGATCTCTAGTTTTCAAGGCTGATTATTTCCTGGCTAGGTCTTATTCTTGAGAAAAGAAAGTAGGGTGCTAGAGCCCTGTTTGTGCAGTGGTCCATCCCATGGGACCGCACCACAGACTTCACATAGAATGCTAGTGTCCTTGGTCCCTGCAAACTCAATCCCACTTAGGGGAACCAGTGTGTGACCCCTGAAGCACTTCCAGACAATCCCAGAACCATGTTGCTGTCCCATCTGTCTCCATAGTGAAGTCTCACCTCCATCCACGCCCATGATGAAGCGTCCCACGATGAGCATCTCAAAGATGCCTGCCCGGAGAGAACAGGCCATCAGCAACGCAGCAGAAATTGCAAAGCCATTGTTGACCAGCAGCGTGTTCTTCCTGGAAGGAAGGAGGGGCTTCATGAGGACACCTCATTATGAGGCAGGTCACTAACCTGTCTGCCCCAGGCCTTCAGAAAGTTTGATAGAGCAAGATGGAGGAACCAGGGTAAGAGCCCTGGCCTAGGAGTCAGGCCTGTATCAGCCCCTGCCTCCACTTTTGGCTATGTGACCAGGAGCAAGGCACTTTCTCCCTCTAGACTCACCATGGGGTCAGTGAGGTCACTTCCAAAGAGACCTTCAGCCCTGGCATCTGTGAATTCCCTGTTATATTTTATTTCATCAATTCTAAGACTTTTGTGTAAGCTCTCTGAAAACCAAGGACATCTTATGATGCATGAGTGATGGTCCAGGCAAGAAAATAGAATCCACTCCGGTTATTTTCATGGAGAGAATTTAACACAGGGAGTTTGTCAAGCAAGTATCAAAGGACTGAGCTGCTCCAGTGGAAGTGGGTGCTGCCCATGTGGTACTGATAACTTGGAGTCTTGGAGGGGGGCCCTAAAGGCTGGCTCAGAGCATTGGGTATCTCCTCTGAGAGGTGTCGTGAGTCTAGTTGTGGGGACAGGACAGAAGCTAGAAGCTGGAGTCAATGGCCAAAGTCATTGCTGGAAGTGGCAGGAAACTCAGGCCCCAAAACTGGCCAAGTCTTTTCTTTTTCCGCTAGTGTCCCATTGGCAAAGGACAAGTGTGATGGGAAAGGTACAGGTCCCTGCCTCAGCATCAAAAGGTGGGACACAGAACAGTAAGTGTGGAGTTAAGACAGTGACTTTATAGCCAGCGTAGCCGCCTATAGCTTTAGTTGGCTCCTTCCTCCCCACTTCGCTTTGTCCATCCTCCCCTTCTCTCTCTTTGTCTCTTTCCTTCTCTTAGTGGTTCACAAAATAATACTTCTTGCACTCATGGCATTTTGGATTTGATGAACTGCAGTCTTAAGTATAAGGCTGGACCACTTCCCTCAAACAAGGCCGGGCAAATTTCCATGGCAATAATTATTATTAACTGCTACGTGCTAGAACTACTACTGTTTTATGAACACATCCCTAGGACCCCACTGTTCGACACATGACTCATTCAGACACCTGGATTCCTGCAGCAGCTCTGTGTTTTAGGAGCCAGAAGACTCTGTAGTCCTTGCTCTGTTTTCTTTTCCTCACTTGCAAAATGATCACTCCCTCATTGTTGAACTCTTGCTAGATGATAGACCATGTTTAAGCATTCAGAAGAGTAGCTCCTTCAATCCTCACCACAGCCCTGGGAGGTAGGCATGCTTATTATCCCCACTTTATGGATGAGCTACCAGGGATGTGGGCAAATGAGAAACTTGTTTTTAGTCACCCAGTTTTTGAGTCAAGGAGCTGGGGAAACATCATAGCCTCTAGCAGCTTATTTTTCTCCCTAAAGACTCAATGAGGTAACAGCTATGGAATTACTTTGTGAATTATGAGAAGCAAGTGGCTTGAAAGGGAACTGATTGTTGCTTTCAAGAGTTAGAGCTCTTGGATTCCGGGCTAGAGCCATATCCTCTAGGTCTGACTTCTGTTAAATTTTCTGCCCTTTCTACAGCTATTGGAGAATCCTGTAGTCTGAGGGTCTGCAGCTTAAGGAACATGGTACCAAGACTGCCTACAACCACACGAGAATAGCAGGTGGGAGAAACACCTAAGTGCCTGTTAACAGTGGACTACAAGAATGAATTATGATGCATCCACATGGGGGGGCATTGCACAGTCATGAAACAGAGGAAGATCACTCTGGTCTGCTGTGGGAAGATCACCAAGATAAGAGCAAAGTGAAGAACTTTGAATAAAATGAACAATAATTTGTCAGAAAAAAGCAGTGTGTGTGTGTGTGTGTGTGTGTGTGTGTGTGTGTATCTGTTGGAAACAACTTCTGGAAAATACACACAAACTGGTAACACCAAGTGCCTCCAAGGAAGGGACCCAAGAGGCTGAAAGGCGGAAGTGAAAAGTAAACCCTTAACTTCACCTCCTTTTGGTCCTCTTAAAAGTGAAACCACCTATCAGGGTTTCATAAGGAGCAGAGCAGTTCCCTCACAGCAATCTATTGAAAGCCAGCCCTCGACACAAGGGTTTGCTAAAAAAAGTGAAACCACCTGGAAGTATTAATCATTCAAAAAAAAACCAATTTTATGTTTTGAAAATGAATTTAAATGGACCTCATGATGGGAAAAAAGCACATCATGATTTAGCAGACATTTAAAAATTCCACTCAAGACTGACTTCCTGATTCAGATGGGAAGGTCACAGACTCCGGCTTCAGGAAGGGGAGCCTGGAGGTGCTCATTCCTGTCTCTGTGTTATGCTTTGTGTCTGCATGCTCCCCCAAATCCACATGTAGTCCTGGAATTCCTGAAATCTGTTTCTAGATTTATGATTGGTTCATGGTCCAGTGTTGGAGTTATGGATGTGAGTGCTACACCCGCCCTGGGGCAGATAGTTTGCATACAGTGTAAGGGAGGGAAAGAGGCTGCCTGCCACCACTCCTCCCTCTTGCTTTGCTACTTTTGCTGTTTTCCACCACTATGAATGGTTGCCCTCTCCCATGTGCCACTCTACCTTGGAGCCAGGCAAGTATGAACTGAAATCTCCACAGATTTTAAGCAAAATAAACTTTTCCTTCCTTAATATTGGGCATCAGATATTTTGTCTCAGCAATGAGAGAAAAGTAACCAAAACACTCTGCTTAAACCTCACATTCTGATGGCAGCCCACAGCAGTGCTCTCGGCTCTCTTGGGCTTCCCCATGGTCTTTGTTGGAGCCCATGTCAGCCTGAAGGGGTGGCAAGGGATGGCTGGGAGAGGAGAGCAAGAGGAGATGTGGAGCCAGCAGCCTGAGCTAACAGGGCATCTCCACAGCCCTCATTCAGGTTCCCACTGAGGATGCTCACAGAGTGCTAGGCACCAGGTATGCCAGGGGGAGTGAGGGAGCCACCCCTGGCCTCACCCTCCCAGACCTGACAATCTCTTAGGGACACAGTCATCAAAGGAATTGCCACATGAAAGCCAGTAAAAAACTAAAACTAGAAATTCCATTCAACCCATCTACTCTCCTTTTAGGTATCTTCCCCAAAGAGTTAAAGACACCATAGCACAGCAATACATGCACACCCAGGTTTACAGAAGCACAATTTGAATAGCTAAGTCTTGGAAGCAGCCTATTTGTCTGCCCACGAAGAAAATGTGGTATTTACACACAATGGAGTTAAAGCAGAATTTAAAGAAAAATCCGTTTTTCTCTCTTAGCCTTGAGCAGTTGTCCCTCAGATCTCCCCTCTCAATAACTGATGACCGCTGCTACAGATAAGGCTACCAGCTACATTCCTGTAAGTAGAGCCCTGAATGTCCTGGTTTCTCAGGCATCTGCTTACCTTCAAGGCTGACCTCTGCTTAGGTTCTGATAAAGTAGACCATCATGTTTCTGTAGACCAAGCCCAGTGACCTGCTTTCTTTGGAGATGCAGATAAGGTTGAAAACTATGTTACCGTACACAGAGTCCTGTGACATCCTGGAATTCCCGAACTCTGTCTTCTTTCAAGGCTAAGTTGTAAACTGTCTCTGAGTAAATAACTGCCTTTGTCTCAGCTTCTGTAACCTCGCTTGCACTCCCTTTCAGTTTCATGTCAATAAAATGTACAGAAAAGGGAGCTTCTTTGTTCAGCACTCAGTCTTTTGTACAGGAGTCCGTGGAGCCAGGTGTAACCTAATAAATCCTGATTCACCCTTGGTCTCTCCCATCTCTTCGGTTCTACAACAGAGTACTACGGTGTCATAAAGAAGGATAAATGTGAGTCATTTGTAGAATGGTTGTACTTTGTGACCATAAAGTTAAGTGAAATAAATCAGACCCAGGAGCTTAATATTACGTGGTGCTCTTATATGGGAAACCCAAAGTATAAATACAGAGGAAAAATAAAGGACAGATAACAGGAGACAGGGAGAGTGAGCTTTTGCAAATGTTCAGGAAGGAGACCAGGAGATGGAGGGAGAAGAAGGGATGTAAAAAGCACGGAGATGTGCTATGTACCTGTGCCAACTTGCCACAAGGAATGTGATCATGTCCTGCAAACATGCTAATAAAAATAAAAATGTAAAAGTAGCTATAGACAGTGGGAAGTAAGGGGCTGGATTAGAAGTGAAAATTAGCCCCTCCTCCCCTTCCCTGCTCTAGTGCCCTATTGGTTATGCTGGCCATTTGGCACTATATAACGCAAATGGTAACCACAAGAGTCACTGGCCTTTCAAGCCAACCTGCACACGGGTGTCACTCAGTGGCAGTTATATGTCCCAGAATGCATGACTATGAAATTTCACTATGAGAACACTGTGGAGGATGCCCGCCATAAAGTGAGTGATTTTGATGTCGCGGGACCACCTGGTGGTAAAAGCAATGTGACATTGATCAAAACATCCTTACCCTACACATGACGGTAAAGAGATTCTCAGATCAGCTAATGAAGAATCCCACCCCGCAGAGCAGGCTCTCCCACAGTGCCGGGAAACCTGCGGTTTTCACACTAACGATCTAATCTGATCTTTAATACCTGCAGCGGTAGGTGTTGACCAGGGTATTTCCAATTCACAGAAGTCACAGCAAAAGCTGCCGTTAGCAGAAGACAGCTAAAAATCCCCAGCCTGCCGACTCTAGGTGGCGCTGTTCGCCCTGCCCTAAAACACCTGGGATTACCTGCGCGGGACCCACCAGCCCCTGCCTGCGAGGGAACTCACTCCTTGACCCCTCATGGTCTCGTCCACACCCTGCCTCTCTGGGCCCATCCTCTGCTTCCCATGGCCTCTCTCTCTGTAGAGCCAGACTCCTGGTGAGCTATGTGTTCTTCTTGTCCTACTCAGATGGGCTCCTTCGTAGGACTCCACGCAGACAGTGCTTATGAAGGTGGTCAACATCTACTTTGGCAAGTGTGCTTGGCAATTCTGTCCTCTGCTTGTGCTGCCTCGTGGCATCCCTGGATGAGGCCGACCA